TTGGTCACTGAGCAGGGGGGAGGTGACGCTTTCGGGAACCCGCCAGTGTTCAGGGGATTTGCAGTTTGATCCCGGACCTATCCAGGGCTTCTGCAGAAACAATGTTTCATTAAATGTTTCTCGACCCCTCCCCCCCACCCAGTTAAGGGGATTTGCAGTGCTGCACATTAACTAGTGCTGGGTTGTGAACTTTAGCCGCTGCTCCGAGGATCTGTGTATATTGTCCTGGAAATGGGGTTTAGTGGCTTTAATCTGGGTGGAGGACACTGCTGGGCTGAAATCGTTTCTCTTATCGTTTAGTAGAAACAATCTGACTTTAGGGGAAATAAATTAATCTGAGCTACAATTGCTTTGTATTTTGTGTCAATGTGTTAAACAAATGGAGAGCACCCCCCAGTTTAACTGTAAAGGCAACAGGCGCTTGTCCGTATGCAAGATAAGGGCTGCTGGTCCCGGCCATACACTCGTTAATAGCTCATAGCTTAATGTCTTGATTACACACTCACTTTGCTATTTTCACCCGTAGCTAAAGCAGAGCTGGCTGCCATGCCGAGGCTGCAGACAGACACAAGGGCCCGATCCCTTGAATCACAGCTGCACGGAGCAGGAGTCGGTTCCGGCAACTTGCAAGAGAGAGGCAGCTGCTGCTTTCCAGTAAACATGATGCTCTGAAGCCTCAGGTTAAAAGCGGTAAATAAATGACGAGAACAAGCACTTTGCTACAGCTCAATTACACCTGCGTCACCCCGCTGCCTGAGTCATTTCACACCATAATGAAGAATGGACTGCAGGGAGCAAGCCTGGGAGGGCCAGGGGCTAGCTGGGACCCAGTCTGACTTTCCCAGCTCTAGAAGGAGAGGAGAGGCATAAATTAAGCTCCCTATAAAGGATCTGGTCTGATCAGGGCCGGCCCTAGACCAAATGGCGCCCTAGGCGAGGAGCATCTTTGTTAAACTTTTGAATACCTTATTTTGTATTGCATTTGTAGCCCATTTCATGAGTTAGATGCATGATTTATCCCTGTCACATAAGACGATAAATTTGCACGCTAGGATCTGTAAATCTATTTATTCATGCCATATGTAAGCAAATAAAAATAATTTGTTTCCTCTAAATGTATAGAAACTTTTTAATTTAAAGAGTAATTGAAATGTACTAACATCAAGAAATTGAACTGTGCACCAACGTTGGGTGGACATAAGAACATAAGAGCGGCCATATTGGGTCAGACCAAAGGTCCATCTAGCCCAGTATCCTGCCTTCCAACAGTGGCCAATGCCAGGTGCCCCAGAGAGAATGAACAGCACAGGGAATCATCAAGTGATCCATCCCCTGTCGCCCATTCCCAGCTTCTGGCAAAACCAGTATTAAGTAGTGTTCCAGTAGGTGACAGCCTTAGAATGTTAACCCTAGTCCTGTTCTTTTTGCGGATACAGACTAACACGGCTGCTACTTTGAAACCTAGTCCTTTAGTGCCAAAGGTCGCTTTTCTCGCCTTTGCCCTCACGAACTGAAGCAGTGTCAGATCCAAAGACAGGCCAATGGCACTTTCAAGCGCTAAAATAGCAAGCAATGTCAGTCTCTCATTAGCCATCATCCATCGAAGATATGTTTTAATGAGCCTGAGCTTTGAAAAGCTGCACTCACCACTCGTGACTGTCATTGGCAGCATGAGCAGAATCCTCAAAGCTAGACACACATTAGGAAAAGTGTCCTCCAGCTCTGCATCATGCATGGATTGGAGAACTTGGAGTGGAACGTGCTTCCCGTGTGGCAAAATGGGATGGCTGTTGTCCAATTCGACAGAGAGGTCTTTAGCATCGATGTCCGAACACTCCCCATGTGTCAGCGTCCGCTGAAGGTCCAGTGAATTGTTCAACAGTCTTTTCCTGTCCCCTGGCACCTTACTAAGGTCATACAACCCTTCCTCCCCCCCCCCCCACCGCCTTCTTTTCATGGTGCTTCATTTGTCTGAACCTTTCTTCAATGGACACTCATGCAGTGTCAATGAGCGAGCAAAAAAACTCCCTCGTGAATTTTTCTTCCAAGCTTCCCATCACCTCATCTCTGCCCTCGTAACCAAACTGTCTCTTCTTCTGATGAATACAAGTTTCCTTGAAGACAGGCTCAAATCCTCAGTTTTCCACCATTTCTTTGGCACTAGTGATGGCATCTTCAAATCTGTTGTCTCTGTAGGCCACAATGAAATCAAGGCAGCTTCTCATCAAGGTCGCGATGTCGGAGTTTGTAATGCCTTGCTTACAACATTTTCTTGGAACAGGATATTGGGCCAAACCACAGTTGAGACCAGAAATTTGAAGTGAGTGATCTGGTTTGCCAGGCTTTGTGCCTCATGTCGGATTCTGGCCCTGGCTTTACTCGACTGCGCCGGTTCCACCAGGGTGTCATAAACCTCAGTCACTTGGTACCTCACTGGCCTTATGCTGTCTATGCAGCTCTCCCAGCGAGTGTCATTTAGCGGTTTCAGGGTTAGATTTGAAACATTGTCCGTGAGGATCTTCCACCTGATCGCTGATGCTGAAAACAGGGCATATATCCTTTGCAGTAGTCCGGAGAAAGAGATTGAATCTAAAGAAGATGACGCTGCGTCTGACACAACTAGGTTGAGGGAATGGCAGCCAGAGCTGTTTCTGTCATCACGCGAGGCTGATTCTTCCTTATCCTTTCTCTCCTTTTCATGTAAGCCAGATTTTTCTCTATTACTCCGCTTGTCATGTGAGCCACACTCTCCTTCACGCCGCCAGGAAACCTGGACGATTCTCCATCACTTTCCTCACATTTCCATTCCTTATCTTCAGGTAAATCTGCTAATTCCTTACTAACAGGAATTCTGTCATTTACGCTTCGCTCCTCAATTTCTTCTGCATTGGGACAATTGCTACTGCCTAAAGCCCTGTCTGTGTTGTTCTGTTTCAGATATTTTCCCATCAAATTTGCCCCTTGCTGCAAACTAGATTGCAATTGTGCTTTTCACTTCCCATACTGAGCTCCTGAAGGCTTCTTCCGGGGCATCTTTTATTTCCTACGGGGGGAAACAGACAGTATTAGGGAGAGCAAAAGTCCATGTTCTGCAGTCCCATCAAACAGTACGTGTTAAGCATAGCAAAAGAAGTAACTATTTCTTTTATATTGCTGCATAGATAGGGATTCGATAGATATCTCTGGTGTCTCATTAAATATGTCCTTTATTAGGCGCTACTTATACTCTTCAAGTCTTAAAACAAATACACTTTCACAGTTACACAATAAAGCAAGGTTCACAATATCGCAGCTGGGCTTTCACTTCATTCTTGTATCTCACTGACTGACTGGCGACGCCACGCCCCGTGAGGGCTGGGCTGACAACGTTCTTGGAGGTTCGAGGAAAATGTAGTTCTCAGAACGTTTGGAAGGTTCCACGAGATTCTACAGAAGTCCAGAACATTCTAGGAGGTTAGTGAAAAATGAATCCACACACGGAATACCTGGAACATTTTACTTCAAACGTTCTATTTTCCCTTTTGTCACTAACAACAAAAACAGCCCCCCCAAGCCCGGCACGCCCCAAGCCCAGCACCCCATGCGGTCGCCTGCACCTAAATCCGGCCCTGGTTCTGATCACTGCGCTGTGACAGCGCATGGCTGGCTCTCCCTACTCCCCTCACCGAGCACTGGAGAGTTACAGCCTCAGCAGAATAAGGTGCAGCCAAGTGAGGAAGACGTGACCAGTGGGGACTTACACAGGTTAATTCTCCTGTTTCCCTGCAGCATCAGCATTTTAGGGGGCGCTTCCTTGGTGTGGAGGTGTCTGGGTTTGTGGATCAAGCGTCTCCTCCAGCAGGAACACCCTCCCCAAGTGTGCTGCAGAATAGACAGCCGAGGAAGGACCCCTGTCTAGCAAATGGCTCTGCGCCGCATACAGGAAGGAACTCATGCCATAGCAGGGCAGACCTGTGCGCCATCTATGAGAATAACAACAGCACTTGTCATCCACAGATCTCAAAACGCTTTACGAAGGAGGTCAGAAACATCACCCCCATGGGACTGACAGGGAAACTGAGGCCCAGAGAGAAACAGCGATTTGCCAAAGGTCAGTGGCAGAGTCAAGAACGGAACGCCCTGGACTCCCCAATCTAGGCCAGTCTCCTGCCTCTCCCAGACATTAATGCTGCACATGTGGGAGGAAAGGACTTGGTCATTAGTTGTGCGCCCTGGTCTGACGTCACCCCGGGATGTGGGTCTGTCCTTTAGCTGGGGGCAGAAGGCGGCTGGCCCACAGGGCTCATTAGCCCACAGTGACCCGAGAGGTCTTTGTGCCCAAGTGCTCCCATCCCAGTGTCGGTCTTTCTGCAAGGAGGATCCGTCTCTTTGGGCTTTACCATCCCAATATTTGGGGCTTTCCTTCTGTCAGAGCAGTGCCACGGGAGCCCTCTTGGGACCAAGGCCCTGCTGTGCTAGGGGCTGTACAAAGAACTAGGGCAGGCCCTGCCCCCGTGCAGGTTTGGACAGAAGGCCAGGGACAAGGGGCAGCACCTATCGCATGGCCACCACAGCCGGCTTGAGGCCCGGAACAGCAGGCTAGGGAGGTGGGTGTGAGGATTGGAGGGGGGCGCAGAGGGTCCGGCTGGCCAGGCTCCTCCTCGGGCTGCTTGTTCTGGCTCGGTGGTGCTGTTATTGTAGGGTCGCTCCCGGAGCTGCCCCCCGGAGAGCGGGAGGGGAAGGCTCTGAACTGTCCCAGCCTCACCAACACCTGCGTCCTCCTGATGGTCGGGAGCAGAGCTGGGGGGTGAGTGGGGAGCCCCGGCCGGGCCTTGCCCCCCGCCGCTCCCAGCCCGGGCAGGCGCCGAGCCTGCCGCTCCCCCCGCTCCCCTGCCGGCGGGGGCGGGCCGGGGGCGTGCGTTGCGCCCGGGGAGGGGGAGGCGCCAGGCAGGCGGAGCTCGGCTCCGGGCAGCCCAGGGCCGGCGCCGCACAGCGGCTCCCAGTCCGGGCTCGGTGGCTGCGGCGCCTCCAGGTGCGAAGCGGGGAGCCCGCCTGGCCCCGGGCGCGGACCCCCCGCACCCCCATGCTGATGCTCCACGTGGCCGGGCCCCCCGCGGCCGGAGCCATGTCCCAGACCGAGGTGGATCTGTCCGGCTGCGGCATCGCCCTGGAGCCGGGGACCCCCGGCCGGGCAGCCCCGCTCCGCAGCCGGGGGCGCGAGAGCCGCCGCGGCTCCTACAGGTTCAGCCGGCGGAGCTCGGCCGAGCTGGAGCGGCTGGGTTACGAGGGGCCCCCGGGGTCCGGCCCGGCCGGGGCGCAGGAGGCGCGCGGGGACCCCCGGGCTCTCCAAGGCGCAGAGCCCGCGGCGCGCTCCGGCTCGGGCAGCGAGACCGGCGGCCAGACGCCCTCGCCGCCGCCCCCCGGCCGGGTCTCCCCGCGCGGCGCCCCCCCGGACGAGAGCCGCCGGGCGCAGGAGGAGAACGAGGAGATCGAGACCCGCGCCGTGGCCACCTCCCCGGACGGCCGGTTCCTCAAGTTCGACATCGAGATCGGCCGCGGCTCCTTCAAGACGGTCTACAAAGGGCTGGACACCGAGACCACCGTGGAGGTGGCCTGGTGCGAGCTGCAGGTGGGTGCGGGCCCGGGCCGGGAGCCCTCAACGGGGGCGGGGGTGATCGGGGCCAGGCGCCCTCAGGCAGGGGCGTGGGGGGGGCTGAGAGACACTGAACCAAACTGTAAACCCTGGACATGATGGAAAGCGCCCCCAGCGCCCCCCGTTCCAGCGCCTACGCCCTCAGGTGGGCCGGGGGGTCCCCGGGGCCGGCTGCTCGCCAGTGGTCACTTTGCTGCACAGCCTGTGGGAGGGCGGGGTGCTGCAGAGCCAGGAGCCCCCCGTCCCTTGGCACCTGGCTGGCCTGTGGTGGGGGGTGGGGGAGAATGGGGTCTCCTGAGTTCTGAGCGGGGAAGTGGGTGCCGCGGCTCCCGGAGGTGGCTGGCTGGGCAAGGCGCAGTCCCTTGGGGAGGAGGTAATGTTCTGCAGGGTCAGGAGCCAGGGTGCCTGAGAGTGGGGAGCTGGTTGGACCCTGATGTCTGACAAATTTGGGCGATTCTGTTTGGGATCCTTCCCCCACGCTCCAGGGGCTAGCGGAGCAGCTCCCCAGCACAGGGTCACAGCGACTGCAGGGCTGGGGCACCTCAGTCCGGCCAGCCAGCCGAGCAGGCTGCAAGGCCCCTGCTCAGGACCCAGCGTACCAAGCCCCACTCTGGGGCTGCCCCCTGCCCCCCAAGGTTCCCAGATCAATGGGGCTCTACTTCAGGTTAATCAGACGCTGCGCTGGGGCACAAGGCCGCCCCTTGGCACTCAGGCTCCAGGGGTAGGTCGGGGGTGAGGGCTGTGTGGGAGTTTCCCCAGCCCCTGGCCCTGGATTGCTGAGCTGGGCAGGTTGGAGTGAGGAGGGACTGACCAGCAGGACGGGCCTGGGCCCTGGCTCAGTGCTTTGGCGCTGCCTGTGGTGTTGGCAGGGCTAGGGCAGGCCGTTCGGCTGGGCCAACTTTTCTGCAGGTGCCAGGTCAGTGGCTCCTTTCACCGGAGGGGTTTAAGAAAGTCTGGGGTTTGTGGCTGGCCCAAGTGCCCCTTTGACGGCCCTGGGACTGAGCCGTGGGTCGGGTTGGGCTCTCCCGGACCCCCAAAGCTGAGTTCAAGACACGTCTCAGACTTCAGGTGGGGGCATGTGCGGGATGCTTCCCCCAGGTCCCTGCCCCCTCGTTCGGCTTCAGCCTCTTTCTTATTCCTTGGGCCTCCCATTCCCCAGAGATACTTGTGATACTGCGGCAGACTGGGGAAGAAGGAGCTCCGAGAAGGTGTGTGTGGGGATTGGGGCCACATCTGTTCATTTCTCCGTTATCTCTGGCTCCTGCAGCCCCAGGTCTCTCCGTAGTGGCCTCCCGTGGCTGGCACGCTAGACCTGTGATTTCTCTGACGTAGGAGAGCTGGCAGCAGCAGCCACAGATACTGAATTACCGTAATTCATGGCTATTCCCATTGGTGCCGTTTCTGCAGATGGACTGCAGCAACCAAGCAACGCCTGCCCTTGCCTACCTCCAGCATGGCTCAGATCCGTAGGTGCCCAGGTGCTGGGATCTTGGTGCTGTGCCAGATCTGCCATCAGAATGGCCAGACCGGATCAGACCAAAGGTCCATCTAGCCCAGTATCCTGTCTGCCGACAGCAGCCAGTGCCACGTGCCCCGAGGGAATGAACAGAACAGGGAATCGTCCAGCGATCCATCCCCTGCCGCCCATTCCCAACTTCTGGCATGTTGGGCCCTGGTGTGAAATGCTCCCAGCATCTCGCTGCTCTGGGCTCCTCAGAGCTCGGTTCTGCATCAATTGCAGCTTCCTGCATGGCTCATTCTCATCCCTTGGTGATGGCAGCGCCCGCAGCCAGCATGCCAATCCCTGCCCCATAGAGGTTGTAGTTGTGTATCAGGCCTTAAGTGCCAGGCTCTGGGCTTCCTTTTCTGCGTGCACTGCCCCGCCCATCAGAGGGGCTGCTTCAAACGCCAGCCTTGCCCCCATTGCCAGCTCTGCGCCGTGGTCTACAGAACTGGCCCCTTCACCTTCTGGTTTCGGGGCACTGCTGGCAGGTGTTGGAGGTGCCTCTGGAGTGTAGGTGGGGGTTACGGTTCCTCTCAGGTTCTCCTGACAGAGGCTAGTGTGGTGCCAGTGGCTTAATCAACAGAGATTTGTTGGTGGGCACCCGTGGCCGGTTTGTGTGACGCTGCCAGAAGCTCTGTGGTGTCCTTAGGGGCTGGATGCAGGAGCTGCTTTAACACACCCGGACCTGGCGCTTTCTGGTCTCCTGCCAGCTCTCCCATCCCTTCCTCCTCCAACCCCAGCCTCCCTCTGCTGGGGAGCTTGTGCTGAGAGGGGGCTGGTTTCTGTAGTCCCCATCCTCCTTCCTGCTGCAGCCAGTAGCAGGGCTGTATGGGGACTGTCCCTTCCGGAGGACCCCACATCTCCACATAACCCCTTGGGATGGGCTTCGGCTGCAGTCCAAAATCTCTGACCACCCTCGTCCTTGGGGCGGCTGGTGCAGCTGCGAGTTCCAAGTCCTTGTTTACACAGAAAAACGTGTCTTGCGAGTTTGTCTCCTGCCCCTAAAAGCAGCGTGGGGCGTCGCTGTGTGCGCGCCGATGGCTGCGTCTCCGGGTGGGCGGAGGGACTCCTGCATGGCAGCGGGTGGTTCTGGGAGGAAGGGGCATTGTACCCTGAGCAGCAGGCTGGCCCTTCGTGTCTGCCCACTGGAGCTTTGCTCTGTCTCCTGGAGTTTTCTCCCGAAGCTTCCCACCTTGCACACAAAGCGGAAGCCCCTTGGTATTAGTGGTGACGCTTCCCGGGGTCAAGCATTGAGGCCCTTTGCCCAGAGGTCACAGTCACACTCTCCGCAGTCAGCCCCATGGTGCCTGGCTTTTCCTGGGTGTGTAATTTGTGTGTCCCTCTGTGGGTTTGTCACGTGCTGTATCCTGTATTTGGGCCGTGCCAGGCATGTGCGTCCCTGGCCCGTTCTCCGCGCTCGCTGCTAGCGCAGCCTGGGGGGCATCTGGCCACCTGTCTTGGCCCCAGGTTGGTTCTCAACCCTGCCCCAGTGTTGCTGCTCCAGATTGAGTTGCCAGGCGGATCCCAGTCTCTCTCCACAGGCCACGTCAGAGGGCGCCCGTCAGGCTGAGAGCACGGGCCGTTTGCGAGGCTGGATCTGAGGTACCCAGCAGACGTCCTGCAGCCCTGCTGGGGAGGGGGCCGGGGGCCGTTTGTGTTGGTCTCTTAGCCTGGCTGGCAGTGTTTGGCGCGGCCAGGCCGGCTGTTGTGGGGATGGTGCCAGACGGCTTTCTGGTGTGCTTACAAAGTGATGCTGATTTGGGGGGCCACCGAGTGGGGGGCCTGTCTGCAGGCATCAGTGCTGAGCAGTGCCAGCCGCTCCGTGTGGGTCTGGCAGGCCAGCAGGCTGCACCTTCCCAGGAGGAGGTGGGGGATACAAAGCTCCTGCTGCCCCTTGAGTCCCAGGAAAGCACAAGAACAGCCACGTGGGTCAGAGCAAGGGTCCGTCGAGCCCAGTGTCCTCTCTGCCGCCAGCCTGCAGTGCCAGGGGCTGCCGAGGGAGTGACCAGAACAGACGGTCATTGAGCGCTCCATCCCCTGCCGCCCGGTCCGAGCTTCCGCGCCAGCCCTGGCTCGGCTGCCTCCTCCAGCTCTGCCGATACCCCTCGATCCTGATCTGCCCCCCGAGAGCTGTGCCAGTCCCCTCAGCTCTGACCCATGGCCCCCTGCTACCTCCCCCCCACAGAGCTCTGCCAGTCCCCTCAGCCCCGACCCCCCTGCTACCTCCCCCCCACAGAGCTCTGCCAGTCCCCTCAGCCCCGACCCACGGCCCCCTGCTACCTCCCCCCCACAGAGCTCTGCCAGTGCCCCTCGGTTAGGATTTCCTCATTCAGCATCTCTTGTCCCAAGCCCCCTGTGCCATGCAGAGCCAAGGAGCATGTGAGCAGACTTAACAAGCCTGTTTTTGAGCCCTAATCCTGCAGAGAATCAGCCGCTGTGGTACAAATATAGGAGTTTGTACCACAAATAAAAGTGGTTGTGGTTGTGCCCTTTCAGAAATAGCTTTGTCCTGCATTTGTCACACAGTTGTCATTTATTGCTTTTAAAATATAAACGGTCACTTGACCTCAGCCCTGACCCGCTATTCCAGTCCTGAGCTTCTCACCCAGCTGCCCTGCCCGTGCCCCTCACTCCCGACCCGCAGCCCTGCCGGTGCCCCTCACTAGCGACCTGCAGCCCCTGCTAGCCCAGCCCCGCCCCCCCCCCCCCGCCGGTGCCCCTCAGTCCTGGCCCGCAGCCCCTGCTAGCCCAGCCCTGCCCCCCCCAGCTCTGCCGGTGCCCATAGTCCTGGCCCGAAGCCCCCTGCTACCCCAGCCCTGCTCCCGCCGCCCCCAACTTTGTGGGTGCCCCTCAGTCCTGGCCCGGAGCCCCCTGCTACCCCAGCCCCGCCCCCCCAGCTCTGCCGGTGCCCCTCGGTCCTGGCCCGGAGCCCCCTGCTACCCCAGCCCTGGGCTTCCCACACATAATAGTCTTGGCCTGACACATTTCTGGTTTCTGAAATCAGGTTTAAAGCAGTGTTTTTATTGACCGATGCCGGGGGGATGCTGGGGGGGGCTGGGGAAACCAGAGGCCCAAAGTGGGTCCAACTGGTAAATATTTGTTTATCATGAGCGGTTTCCTGCAGGACCCCCCCCCCCCCACCGCCGTGGGCAGTGGCGCAGAGCCAAGAGCTGGAGTTGCCTGAACTGGCCAGGGCGTGTCTGCACGCTCTCTCCTTATGCACCGAGTGCTTGTCCCTTCCCCAGAGCCCGTGCTGCTGTGGGCGGAGCAGAGCTGAGGAAGGGGGGCTGGTGAACCCAAGCTGGGCCCCCCCAGGTGGACGTGAGCCCTTCAAGGGGGCAGGGGCCTCTGGGGTTGCAGTTTTACAGTGTCTGTGGTAGTGCCCCTGTGTGCTGGGTGCATCCCAAACACTGGCAGGACAGGCCTTGCTCCGGGGGCTTGTGGTCAGAGGCTGGGGGGGCCTGGGCAGGGA